AGGGTTCTGCCCTGGAAGGCAGAGAAGACAGAGCAGATCAGGTTCACAGGTTTACAGATTCAAAGATTTACAAACCTTCAGGTTCACAGGTTTGCTTCCATGGCAAGGACAGGACAATGACAATGACAATGATCCGGCAACGAGGGGAGCTTTCACTCAGCTTAAATAGGGAGAGCTTAATCAGCAGAGCTGATGGGGATCAGGTGTGAGTGCTGAACAGCAGCTCCCAGGGGAAAGATCCACATCGCCCTCTGGAGGGCAAACCCCTGGATCTCAACAGAAACAGAAGCCCACAGAATGGGATCCAAGTCGCCCTCAGGAGGGCAAACCTCTGGATCCCAACAGTACCCCCCCCTCAAGGGCGGATACCAGACGCCCAAAAACAAAAAAACAGAAAACAAAACAACCCACCCAGGGCGAGCGGAGGGGAAAACAGGCAAGGAGGGCCAGGCACAGAAACAAAAACAGGGTCCAGAACTCAAAACAACCCACCCAGGGTGGGCGAGGACAGGGAAAGTCTCAGGTGGCCTGCCGTGGGGCCGGCAGCAAGGCAGGGTTCCAGGTGGCCGGCCGCGGGGCCAGGGACAAGGCAGAGTCTCAGATGACCGGCCGTGGGGCCGGCAGCAGGGTAGAGTTTCAGGTGGCCGGCCATGGGACCGGCAGCAGGGCAGAGTCTCAGGTGGCCGGCCGCGGAGACGGAGTCTCAGAAGCTGCTGGGGCCTTGGAGGAAAACGCCAGCTCCGCTTCAGCAGGAAGCACCGAGGAAGACGCCGTCTCTGCTGCAGCAGGAAGCACCGAGGAAGACGCCGTCTCTGCTGCAGCAGGAAGCACCGAGGAAGACGCCGTCTCTGCTGCTGCAGGAAGCTCCGAGGACGACGCCATCTCTGCTGCTGCAGGGAGCTCCGAGGAGGACGCCATCTCTGCTGCAGGAAGCTCCGAGGAGGACGCCGTTTCTGCAGCTCAGCAACTGACTCAGACAGGGTCACCCACTGTGGCACTGAATCAGGAACTGAAGAGGCCGTCGATTGCGGCTCCGCATCAGGAACACCGGAAGCCATCAGCTGTGGCTCCGAATCAGGAACACCGGAAGCCATCGGCTGTGGCTCCGAATCAGGAGCACCGGAAGCCACCGACTGTAGCTTCACACCAGGAGCAGAGGAAACCACCGATTGTGGCTCCACAGGAACAGAGGAGGCTGCCGATTGCGGCTCCGGATCAGGTACAGATGAGGCCGACGATTGCGGCTTCGCATCAGGAGCAGAGGAAACCACCAGCTGTGGCTACACAGGCACACAGGGATCCGCCGATTGCGGCTCCGAATCAGGAAGTGAAGAGGCCGCCCATTGCGGCTTCGCATCAGGAGCAGAGGAAACCACCGACTGTGGCTCCACAGGCACACAGGGAACCGCCGATTGCGCCTCCGAATCAGGAAGTGAAGAGGCCGCCGATTCCGTAGTCTCTGAATGAGACAGAGCAGGCTCAGGGGTTCCCCAAGGGCCCCAAATCTCCCGACATCTGCGATTCCACTCCTCATCACGTCGACGCCGCTTCATCTCCCATTTACGATTCCACTCCTCTTCTTGTCGACGCCGCTCCATCTCCGACTCTCGGTCCAACTCCCCAAAACGCCGGCGCACCCTCTCCCACAAGGATGATGGCGGAAGACTCAGAGCGGGTTCAGGGGTCTCCAGATGGCTCAGAGCGGGCTCAGGGGTCTCTAGGTGGCTCAGAGCGGGCTCAGGGGTCTCAAGACGGCTCAGAGTGGGCTCAGGGGTCTCTAGACAGCTCAGAGCGGGCTCAGGGGCTAAGGACGCCACCAACTCATCATAGCGTCGAAGCAGCGCCACCTGCCAGGGAGCCGGCGGACGGCGCTGAGCGGGCCTCACCAGGTGAGCATGGAAGGAGTCTGCTGGGCTAGTCTGTTGGCCGGATCGTACTGTCATGATTTGGCAGGATTTCTAGCCCCAGATGCAGACTCACAGAAAACTCAGGCAGGATTAAAGTCCAATATTTATTTGGATCCACACAGGGTTCTGACCTGGAAGGCAGAGAAGACAGAGCAGATCAGGTTCACAGGTTTACAGATTCAAAGATTTACAAACCTTCAGGTTCACAGGTTTCCTTCCATGGCAAGGACAGGACAATGACAATGACAATGACAATGATCCGGCAACGAGGGGAGCTCTCACTCAGCTTAAATAGGGAGAGCTTAATCAGCAGAGCTGATGGGGATCAGGTGTGAGTGCTGAACAGCAGCTCCCAGGGGAAAGATCCACATCGCCCTCTGGAGGGCAAACCCCTGGATCTCAACAGAAACAGAAGCCCACAGAATGGGATCCAAGTCGCCCTAGGGAGGGCAAACCTCTGGATCCCAACAGAAAAGATGCTAGAAGAATGCCTGACACCATCTGTTAAGCATGGTGGAGGTAATGAGATGGTCTGGGGCTGCTTTGGTGCTGGAAAGGTGGGAGATTTGTACAGGGTAAAAGGGATTATGAAAAAGGAAGGCTATCACTCCATTTTGCAACACCATGCCATACCCAGTGGACAGCGCTTGATTGGAGCCAATTTCATCCTACAACAAGAAAATGACCCTAAACACACCTCCAAATTGTGCAAGAACTATTTAGAGCAGAAGCAGGCAGGTGGTACTCTATCGGTAATGAAGTGGCCAGCGCAGTCACCAGATCTGAATCCCATTGAGCTGTCGTGGCAGCAGCTTGACCATATGGCACGCAAGAAGTGCCCATCCAACCAATCCAACTTGTGGGTGCTGCTTCTGGAAGCATGGGGTGCAATTTCTCCAGATTACCTCAACAAATTAACAGCTAGAATGCCACAGGTCTGCAATGCTGTAATTGCTGCAAATGGAGGATTCTTTGACGAAAGCAAAGTTTGATGTAAAAAAATACTAATCATTATTTCTTACCTTGTCAATGTCTTGACTCTATTTTCTATTTATTTCACAACATATGGTGGTGAATAAGTGTGACTTTTCAGGAAAACACAACATTGTTTGAGTGACCCCAAACTTTTGAACGGTAGTGTATATATATAGCCTCTAGGATGATATATAGCCTAGAGGCTGCTGACTGGCAGGTGCCACTGGCCACTTAAGCAATAACATCACAATATTAAAACAATAATCTACTTAGAGGTGCTATAAATAAGTCATTTAGTGACTATGGTCATTATAGTGGCAGCAGCCACTATGGTGTCAGTCTCTGCTGGCAGCGGCCACTACGCTGACACTATGATTGGACCATAGTGGCCTCTGCCAATATGGTGGCACCATAGCGGCAGCACAGTGGCAGTGGCCGATGCCAGCAGAGACTGTGGTGGCAGTCTCTGCTGTAAGTGGGCAAAAAAGAACTAAAAAAGAGAATTAGTTATTTAACGAAAACCGGCTTCTGCAGCCACCAAAATGGTGTCAGTAAACCTGGGAGTCGCTCAGGCAGCCTACTGGCATGACAGCCGGACTGTCATCATGGTGGCTGCGTAGTGGCCGTGCCTGGAGAGCCTGCCACCGACGTGGCTGCGTAGTGGCCGATGGTGCCCGCTGCCGGCAGATGCTGCCCCCGGAGTGGCTGCGTAGTGGCCGATGGTGCCTGCTGCCGGCAGATGCTGCCCCCGGAGTGGCCGGGGGTGCCCGCTGCCGGCAGATGCTGCCCCCGGAGTGGCTGATGGTGCCCGCTGCTGGTGCCCGCTGCTGGCAGATGCTGCCCCTGGAGTGGCCGGTGGTGCCCGCTGCCGGCAGATGCTGCCCCCGGAGTGGCTGATGGTGCCCGCTGCTGGTGCCCGCTGCTGGCAGATGCTGCCCCTGGAGTGGCCGGTGGTGCCCGCTGCCGGCAGATGCTGCCCCCGGAGTGGCTGAAGGTGCCTGCTGCCGGCCGAGGCCACTTATTGGCAGCCAAACTACTCCGTTCCATCAAATAAATGTGACATTATAAAGGTTTTAATGCAGTTTATTAAGCAATAACATCACAATATTAAAAAAAAAACAAACAATCTAGTTTGAAGTACTATAAGTAAGGCATTTGCCGAAAAACTGCATGAAAAATACCAAAAAAAGTGACGAGCCACATTGAGCCATCGGAACTGCCACCGGAACCGCCACCGGAACTGCTGCAACGCAGCCACTGCCACGAATTGAGCTCGGCCCTGCTGCAGCCTGCGAGCCTGCGCCCAGGGCAGCAAGTCCAGATATTACAGATACAAATCCTTTATGCATTTGTGCATCTCACACGGCAGAAGTGTAGCAAAAATCCTGTGTGTAAAGAGAGCCAACCGTGAAACCGCTGGACTTGAAACTAATGATGTGTCTGTATTTCTGGGTGTTGAAGCGAAAATACTTCGGACACAGTGTCTCTGTGTGTGCTTACAGATTGTTCTACACATTTGCAAATCTTACTACAGATTTGTAAATCTGAATACAGATTTGTACATCTGAATACAGATGTGTGGATTTTTTATACATTTACAAATCTCAGTACATATTTGTAGATCTGAATACAGATTTGTGGATTTTTTACACATTTGCAAACCAGATTACACACACACAAGTAGTTTTGCACTTTTGCAGATTGTTGTACAGACACACAAATCTCCTCACACATTTACAGTTTCATTTACACATTTTCAAATCCCCCTGCACATGCACAAACCGAGATACAGATATACCATTCTCCACACACATTTGTAAATAACAAAACAACAATTTTGGCCCCATACTTATTAACCCACTCAACTAAACTTGATTATGAGGTTGGTATTAAAAAAAATCAACATCTAGAAATGATTGATAAAATCAAATTTTATTTAAAATAAAATCACAGTTAAAAATGACTGATCAACTTTTTTTATAACAGATTTGACAATAAAAATGTACAAATGATTTGTAAGAGTCACAAACATATTTTGTACTTAAGATTTAAGCTGTACTTGCAATTAATGTCGACAATAACCTACATAAGAAACCAGGTATATAGTAAGAAGGACAATTTTTTTTTTCAAAATTATAACATCTTAAATCCGTAACCTATTTCACCCTTGATTTTCTGCCTATTTTTTCAAAAAGAAAGTTCCAGACATGAACAGTCCAGCAGAGTATAGTGTCACTATTTCACATATTGAGTGTCAAGAAGACAACTTTTGAAGGTAAAGATCTTGACTGCAGCTTGACTAAAAGTCCTAAGTCAGATATCTGTGGCACAAAAAAAGACATGAAGAACAAGAACAGAGAGATAGAAGAAGTGAGTGATGGGAATCAGAGCTTTGCCACTGTTAAATATGCTTTCATCAGTGGTAGAGTGACTGTAATATGTGGCATATGGGTGATGTGTGGGATAAGGGTAGTGTGTGGTATCAGGATAGTGAGTGGAAGTTGTAGCTGGTGTTGTGGGACAGGTGAAGTTCAAGTCCGTGTCGTTGCCTGGGGAGATGAAGGTAACAAATCCTGGTTCCATGCCAGTGACTCTGTCGCTGATCCATTTCTGGTACTGGGACACACGAGTGTAGATGGTAGGTCGACCGAGGTAATGACCATAAACATAACTCACAATCCCACTTTGGACCCAGGTGGAGTCTTTTTTGGTCACTAGAGCTGCCCCCTCGTCATCCTGTGAAATAATTTTAGGAGAATATAGATATTAGCAGCTTTAGTTTATTGCTCCCCCCCCCCCCCCCCCCCCCAAAGGCCCCCTAGAGGCAAGGCAGAAAATAAACACAGTCACTATTATCTTATAGCCAACACAGAGAGTCAGTGCAGTTATTCCATTTCAATTAAGAACTGACAAATTCTGTGATTTTTGGCAATTTTAGTATTTGACCAAACATAAAAAGATATGTTAGTAAAGAAAAGAAAAAAAAAGAAAAGAACAAAAAGAAAACAGGTAGTTACATAATATGCAGTCTTTGATCCATTTTCACTTCCAGCACACATCATGTTCTCTGTTATTGAACGGCGGTTGTTCCAGTAGTAGTAGGAGTTTCTGTAGAAGCAGCTGCATTTATTGTTCCCAAAAACTGATACATCAACTTCCTGGAAAGTATCAGGATAATAATAGTGTTCTAAAGATAAAAGTTTAAAAAGGTTAGATATATTAATGAACAGTCCAAAACTGGTATTGTAAATGAAGGGATCGTAAAGAAATAAAACAAGACTTACCATTTGAGCCAAAACCAGTGACCCAGCTGGCAGTTCCATCATAGAAAGTACTATCTTCTGAGGCCAAGCAGACCGGTTGGATGTAGTCTGTGAAGTTTACAGGAGCTGACATCTTTACAAGACAGATGTCATTCTCACCGTCATAATAGTCAGTTTCGTAATCTTGATGGCAGACGATTGAGTCAACTCTCCTAGTTTCTTCCCCATATCTTGACTGGTTGTTTGCACCCAAGTGCAAAACTGCACCACTGAGGTAAGATCTTAAAGAAGAGAGAACAAATAATATGGAATAAGAGTAATGCTACTGATTAGCACATTAACGATAACCTCATTATCTACCTCTATTGCTTTCAAGTCACTAATTAATAGGTGGAGATAAAACTTTATCTTCTTGCTTTACTCTTTTAAATATACCCTTTTAAAATTTACCCTTTTACAGACAGAAAAATGTGAAGTAGAGTTGATCGAGAGAAATGAATGAGGCACAACAGAAGACATTCAGACATATTACTATCTGTTGGGTACTGTGGAACATTGTGTTTATCCCTACAAACAAAAAAAAAATACTAAACCACAGCTCCTTACCTTCTTGAGCAATGGGCAGCTGTCAGAACCCACTGATCTGTGATCAGCGAGCCTTGACAAAAGACCCAGCCACGGTGGGTAAGAGTGACATGCCATGGCCAAGCTCCTGGAGAGGCATCTTGCCCTCCTAGGATCCTGCTGTTGATTGGAGACCTGGCACAGGCTGACAACATTCACATAATCAGAAACAAATGTTTATCATGTTATTTTTTTATTTACTAACTAAATATAGCTCTTTTAGTTGATGCTATTTACTTTTCAGCTACTGGACATATTACATCTGCGCATTTTATTAAGAATGTACTACCTATATTTTTCAACAAAACTACTCAATACTAATATTAAGTGACTCATATAGGCATGTTTTATTTTGGAAGAAGCACCAACTTTTGTGTATTTTACTGAGCTTTATATGATAGACCAACAATATTGTTGTATAGGAAATGGATTATTAAATATGCACATGATATTGTACTAAGTCAATTATTAAGTTAGATTCTAAAAGAGAAAGTTCTAAACACATCTAAAGCTGATGTTGGTCACAAAAAACTGACATTAGTTATTTCAGTGCCTATAATTTGTAACCTATTTAAAATCCGTCCCCCCCCCCTTTTGACTTTTCTTTTTTTCGCTTTATTTAATTATAGCTCTATAATGACTGTGATATTTGAACATTTTATTTCCTCAAGGTCAGAAATACGCAAAAAGGGAGTTGAGGTGTCCTTACAAATAATATAAAATGAATTTAATATAAATATTGAAAATGCTTACAGGCAAACGAGTGAAAGCTGTTACAACTCAAAAGGTGGTTATAGGGAAGAGAGAGGCACGAACAAACACATGGTAGCTTTCTAACCATAGAGAAAAGTCCTTCCTTGTTGCAACAACCTTCACTTTTATTGGAATTTCATATAAAACCCCAACACAATAACACTGAGTTTTTCCATGTAAAGACATTTAAAGCATCTGAATACTTCTTTGAGGAAGTAATACAGACCTATTCACGTTTTTACCTCTTAAAAAATATCTAAAATAGTAGTATATTGTTTATTCTTGTTCTCCACAGCAACAAAAAATAAATTACAAGGAAATGCAGCGATGTCTTTCCTTCATGTTTTTCAGCAGTTTTCTAAAACTAGAAAATAAATGTTGGGTACTTACCAGGTTCTGAATTAATTCCTGAAATGTATATACACATACAAATAGGTTAGACAAACTGGTCAGGTGAGATATTCCACTTTATGAGACAAAGGCACAGATAAGGGAACTGTCAAAACTATCATATATTATTTCCTCCTCACACAAACTCTTGCCTTACATACCAGATACTACTGAGCCTGATTTCAAAAGATGCAAGATGACTAATCAACTCACTTTTCTCTATCAAGCTTACCATAAAACATTTCTTGAAAAATGCAATAATAAGACATAACTGTAGATTTAGGTCTCCATGTCTTTATAGCTGAGTAGTTTAAATTAATTAGTTGCCAAATATGCATCACACTCTTAGAAAGCAATAACCAAGCCTGGGCTAGAGCCTAGCAAACAAAATGTTACATAACTTCAAGGCACTGGGTTTGTCAACACCTTCTTTATGCCCTTTTGCAACAGGAATTATTTTTTTCTTGTGTGTGAAATACATTTGTTACTACAATCTTTTTTTATTGATATATTTTCATCATGGTGTACTTCTAAAAAAACATTGTTGTACCATTGAACTAAAATATTGCACATTGTTTTATTTATCCTGGTACTCCAGATTTCTGATCACAAAATGGTGGAAATCTCACATACATTAGCAGCTATTTAAAATGGCCCTTCCCGGTCAAAGGCCAGCTGAATGGCAGCCTACTCCCCTCCAACTCCCAGTGAAATCCCCTCCAACTCCCAGTGAAATCCCCTCCAACTTCCAGCCACTTGAGTGACCCCTCTTGCATATTTCTTTATTCACTTTCACTGAATTACAGGGTCTGACCAGGAGATAGCGCTCTTAATGTCCACAAATCTTGACAGAAAGAATATTTTAGTACAAATATTGATGTTTAAAATAAATAATTGTAGGGGATCAGCCAAGGGTCCATCAAGAAAAGTGGGGAAATTTTGAATGGCTACTACTGTATGATGTAGCTTTTTATTTCAGAACTTTCTAAATCACACCCCATTATAACTGATTGTGGTTCTGATCACTGAAAATTCATAGTATAACATGAAAGTAAACAACTTCTGAATTAACTCATGCTGACTATGAGATTGGAGTAATTACTGCAAAGCACTTGTTGTTAAAACAGGTAGGATGTCTGCAACATTGATACAAAATAAAAGCAAAAATACAAACAACAAAATCATTACAATAGATTCATCCATTTACATTAGCTTTAAGTGTAACATTGTTTCATTTGTTTTTTCCAGGGTACTGTACCATGAAAACAGGCTACTGTACCATGGAAACAGGCTTTTAAAATCGATGTGGGTTAAGATAAAGTAAAGGAGCCCAGTTAACTAGCCCAGTTAAGCTAAAACAGTTTCATAACTCATTTAAAATCCAAGCTTAAAAATTTCAAGAAAAAAAGGGTTTTCACAGCAGAACTAAAACACAAAGGACAATTTCAGTCATTACATGCAGTGTGCCTTGACTTAATTAAAGCAAAGAGTAATATCAATATAAAGTTATTTTTCTCACCTCTGGAGAGAAGAATGATCATCACAGTGATGCCACATGCATACTGATGTAGAGCCATTTTCATCAGTAAATTGTTTCTCTCTTTTTCAGCTATAAATACTGTATTTTTTGTCTTTAGCTCCACCCAGAATAAAGAGGAATTTAATAATCTGTTCCTGTCACCCAGTATCTTTCACTGGCTTGGGTAGAAGAAATGTGGAATGAATACAAACTTGTCTTTCTGGATAATTTTCGTTAGTAAATGCTTTATAAACTGCATACTCATAACATTTGAAGGAAGTAGTTTTTGTAGTCAAGGAAGAAACCTCAGAGAAAACTACACACAAGAGGCTCTCTGTCTTAATAATAGCTAATCTACTTAGTCTTTTTAGTTCCACATAATTACTAGCTATGAGCAGGGCTGAAACTGAGAAACAATTCCCTAGCTCAGAGGTGAATACTGAGACCAAAATAACAGGAAGAGCAGGTTTTCCTCTTACATTTGAACTCTGAAGATTTATAACTTTAATCAGAAGATTATGCAACAAAAGATGCACAATTTCATGTTTTGGAGGTTTTTGGGGGGTTTTTTGGTATATTTTTCTTGTATTTTTCACTGCTATTTAGCCCTCCTATGATCCTGCAGATGGTTAAAGGTATGGCAAAGACTTAAAAATTAAAATTTGATTTAGGCTATATTTTTAACAAAACTGAATAAAATTAATCTAAAGTTGTGTCCTTCAGTGTGTGCACACGCTCTTTTCTCTGCTCCCTGCTTGCTTGCACTTTCTGGTCCTTTTCTGGTCCTTTTATCTTCTTTTTATCTCTTAACCAAAACTACAGAAAGTTGGATTTAGTTATTTGATTCATTTTCTTTTATTTATTTTTTTATATTTTTTTATTTTTCCCCATGTGGACTATTTTAGTTTTCAGCTATTCCACACAAGATGCCTTTCTACAACAGCCCAGAGGAGGCAGTTATCATGAAAAACGCTCTTATGGAAAGACTTCAACACGAAGTGGATATGGAGAAGAACTACCCGATTCAAAGGATGCCTACCTTCAGCACAGAGGACTTTGATAAGCTTCTACAGAAAATAGCTGTCATGGAACTGAAAATCCACCAACTTGAAGTAAACTATGATGTAAACGCCGCGTATGGTAATGAAACAACGCTGCCTGTGATTCCGAAGGGGGACCACCAGCCCAGCAACTCAGCGAATAAACAGTTCCCAGAGGAAAATGAGAATCCCTGGACTACTCTGGGTGCTAGACCAAAGGATCAGCAAACCCCCCACCTAGATGGCCGAGACCATAGAGAGATGTCCCAAGAAAAGTGAAACAAAAACGGGATGTTCTCACAACAAATGATAGGAATAAACCTGCTGGAAATGTTGGAATTCCGTTACAAAAAAAAACTGCACCCAATTCCCCCTCTTCCCCACAAAGCCCAGATGTTCCTTTTCTGGAATTTTCTCATAACATGAACAAAGTTTTCAAGATAGGCCTACAGTTGACATTCTCTCCACATAGCCATTCTGAAAACCGCAGCTATGTGAAAAAACCAGCATCTTCTAAAAGCAGCAGAGCCCCAGATCCTCCTCTACATATCACGGAACATCAGGACCTTCAGATTACTTCTCCGTGATACACACCGGGCCCTGGCAACAAGCTTATCAGACATAACAGTTTCCAGCATCAGCTTGGGCCTTCTACCGGACCTTATGGAATATCTGTGATGATACGTGGCAGAAATAAGAAAAAAAAAATGGGAACAAACAGGAACAGACACTTAAGAGTCATAAACTGTCAGATGCAGCCTGCCAAAGAGACAACATCAAGCACTAATTCATATAAACTGGCTTTATTGAACATTAGATCTCTGTCAGGAAAATCCTTTTTAATTAATGACTTTATTATTGACAATAATGTGGATGTTATGTTTTTAACAGAAACATGGTTACATGAACTTAATGAAGCACATATTCTGTTGGAGTCGTCTCCTCAAAACTACAATTTTTCTTTGCGAAGCCGACAGCAAAGGAAAGTTGGAGGAGTAGCAACATTGTTTAATGATTCACTGAAGTGTAAAAAGGTGTTTTTTGGAAAATTTGACTCTTTTGAACATTTGGTTCTGCAGGTAAAGAGCCTGGTACGAACTATGTTTCTAAATGTTTACAGGCCTCCTAAGTCCACGTCAAACTTTTTTAATGATTTTAGTGACCTTCTGTCCGTGATATGCGTTGATTATGACTGTTTAATTATTGTGGGAGACTGTAACTTTCACGTTGACAACCCTGAAGACAGAAGTGCAAAAGAACTGTGTGACACACTTAGAAGCTTTGGTTTAACTCAACATGTTAAACAACCAACGCACAAACAGGGACATATTTTAGACTTGATCATCACTAAAGGTCTGAAGATTTCTAAAGTCAGTGTTACTGATGTTGCCCTATCTGATCACTTTTCTGTTACCTTTGAGGGCATCATTTCCAGTGACTCATTTAGCCAAAGGGACATCATAAGAAAACGTACCTTTAAGGGAAATGCCACAGAAACTTTTATTCAAGCTTACTCTGCTACTTCAATCTTGGGCTGCAACTCAGTAGATGAGCTAGTAGATAACTTTCAGTCTAAAGTCTCAGACATCATTAGCTGTATTGCTCCAATTAAAGTGAAAGTCTTTTCCGGAAAGAAATAATCTCCTTGGAGAAGTGCTCCAGCAGTTAGAAGTGAAAAAAGGGAGTGTCGAAAAGCTGAACGCAGGTGGAGAAAGAAAAGACTCCAGGTTCACTATGACATCTATAAAGAGAGACTTTACAGATATACACTATATTGCCAAAAGTATTTGCTCACCCATCCAAATTATTGGAATCAGGTGTTCCAATCACTTCCATGGCCACAGGTGTATAAATTCAAGCACCTAGGCATGCAGACTGTTTTTACAAACATTTGTGAAAGAATGGGTCGCTCTCAGGAGCTCAGTGAATTCCAGCGTGGAACTGTGATAGGATGCCACCTGTGCAACAAATCCAGTCGTGAAATTTCCTCGCTCCTAAATATTCCACAGTCAACTGTCAGCTGTATTATAAGAAAATGGAAGTGTTTGGGAACGACAGCAACTCAGCCACGAAGTGGTAGGCCACGTAAACTGACGGAGCGGGGTCAGCGGATGCTGACGCGCATAGTGCGAAGAGGTCGCCAACTTTCTGCAGAGTCAATCACTACAGACCTCCAAACTTCATGTGGCCTTCAGATTAGCTCAAGAACAGTGCGCAGAGAGCTTCATGGAATGGGTTTCCATGGTCGAGCAGCTGCATCCAAGCCATACATCACCAAGTGCAATGCAAAGCGTCGGATGCGGTGGTGTAAAGCACGCCGCCACTGGACTCTAGAGCAGTGGAGACGCGTTCTCTGGAGTGACGAATCGCGCTTCTCCATCTGGCAATCTGATGGACGGGTCTGGGTTTGGCGGTTGCCAGGAGAACGGTACTTGTCTGACTGCATTGTGCCAAGTGTAAAGTTTGTTGGAGGGGGGATTATGGTGTGGGGTTGTTTTTCAGGAGCTGGGCTTGGCCCCTTAGTTCCAGTGAAAGGAACTCTGAATGCTTCAGCATACCAAGACATTTTGGACAATTCCATGCTCCCAACTTTGTGGGAACAGTTTGGAGCTGGCCCCTTCCTCTTCCAACATGACTGTGCACCAGTGCACAAAGCAAGGTCCATAAAGACATGGATGACAGAGTCTGGTGTGGATGAACTTGACTGGCCTGCACAGAGTCCTGACCTCAACCCGATAGAACACCTTTGGGATGAATTAGAGCGGAGACTGAGAGCCAGGCCTTCTCGTCCAACATCAGTGTGCGACCTCACAAATGCGCTTCTGGAAGAATGGTCAAAAATTCCCATAAACACACTCCTAAACCTTGTGGACAGCCTTCCCAGAAGAGTTGAAGCTGTTCTAGCTGCAAAGGGTGGACCGACGTCATATTGAACCCTATGGATTAGGAACGGGATGTCACTTAAGCTCATATGTGAGTCAAGGCAGGTGAGCAAATACTTTTGGCAATATAGTGTAGCTTACAACTGAAAAATGCAAGAGAATCTTTCTTCCCTGAAATCATTAACAAGAACATTAATAATACTTGTGCGTTATTTGCCACAGTCGACAAGTTAACAAATCCTCCTGTACCGGTGGCTCCTGAACTCCACTCCACCAGGGCCTGCAATGAATTTGCTAATTTCTTTACTGAGAAAATCCTAAAGATCAGAGGATCAGTTTATACATCCATATCAAGTTCAGTACCAAAGTTGTCTCCAACTGGAATTGATCTAGACCAAATGTCCCAATTTAGCCAAATAAACTACAAAAGCTTAGAGGAAATCATTCAGCAGCTAAGTTCCTCCTCCTGCTGCCTTGATGTTCTACCCACAGCTTTCTTTAAGAAAGTTTTGATTGTCATAGCGTCTGATTTGACTCAGAAAATAAACGTGTCGCTTCTGTCAGGTGTTTTCCCGCAGTCCCTAAAAACAGCAAATATCAAACCACTGCTGAAAAAGAACAGTTTAGACAAACTACTACTCCAGAACTACAGGCCCATATCAAACCTCCCCTTTATCAGTAAGATTATTGAAAAAGCAGTGTTTCAACAATTAAACACTTTCTTAGATATGACCAGCCGCGTTGACGTGTTCCAATCAGGTTTCCGTGCTCACCACAATACAGAGACCGCCCTTATCAAGGTGTTTAATGACATCCGTGTAAATACAGATTGCGGAAGAACCACAGTGCTGGTACTATTGGACCTCAGTGCAGCATTCGATACGGTAGATCACTCCATCCTGTTAGAGCGCCTGGAAAACTGGGTTGGCCTCTCTGGTACAGCTCTCAACTGGTTTAAATCCTACTTAAAGGACAGGGACTTTTTTGTGTCAGTAGGCAACTTCACATCAGAGATGACAAAAATCACATTTGGGGTTCCCCAAGGGTCCATCCTGGGTCCCCTCCTATTCAATATCTACATGCTCCCTCTCGCTCAGTTAATAAAAAACAACATCAGCTACCATAACTATGCAGACGACACACAGCTTTACATCACCATG